AGGTTCACCCTATAAATAAAAGAAGACCAGCAACAGTCTGTCTAAAAGCTGTTTAGCCATTGAAATTTCTTGATTGGAGAGTTTTAGTTTTGTTTTGGAAGTAAAATGAAAGTGCTTTCTGAAATGTTCAACTAGATAAAGATAAGTACCAAATTGGCTTAAAACAGTATTTCTTCAACTTCCTGTGTTTAAGGGTCTATGTTTACAACAAATACCTGATAGCAAGTTCTGCCTGTTACAAACTATTCTGTAAAATTTTAGACTGCATAAAGCATTTCATGAATTCACCTGGAAAAATCTGTCAGGTCTCATATAGTGCTCAACGTGAACTGAATGTTTAAACTAGAATACATGGAAATAGGCTCTTTCAGGCTATGCATGTATGTAAGCATGTACATTGCTCCATTAAAGGAGAAATAGTATTAACTCTTTTAAAGCTGCAGCACAAATGCAATCTCTTTAAAATTAGAAATCCAACTTTAAAAATGCTCTCCAGGGCTCCAAACACTTTGCCAGCATGAGTGGCAATTTACATCAGCTCTAGAACTTGTTATTGCTTGTAAAAGGGAGACAACAGTTCAGCTGAAAGAAGGAAGTAGGAAAGAAAGCCCCATGACTTCCTCTCCTATACAATGATGGGCTTGGAATCTGAGGATGTTCTGACACTGGGCTGAGATACAGAATGGAATACCCTGAATGATTTCCTTTTCAAGGGTTTATATTAAAACCCCAGACAACTAAAGATACCTCAAATGGGGGAATCAGGCCCTTAATCTTTTCAGAGGCTTAAGAACCAGAACCTTAATTTTATTTACAAACTTGAAAGGAATCTGCCCACTCCAAAACACAGTTTAAAACCCCCTTTTTAATCCTCAAGCTTAACATATCTTGACAGTTATTCTAATACACCTGTGTTTCCTTTACAACCGAATAGCAGACAAGAGTTTTCTTCAATGTTATAAATGTTTTATTAGAATAAAAAAAATTACATACAGTAACCATAGGATATACACAAACAGCTAAAAGTTAACAAAGAAATTGGATTTTTTTTCAATATGAAACAAAATACTCTGTACATATCTCACAGAGATAATAGAGCTAGAATGTAAATTCAATAAGATGATCATGACAGTTGTAGTACAGAAAGATGATGTCGAATAGCCTTCTCCAACCTTGTGTCTTTCAGATGTTTAAGACTAGAACTCTTGAGCAGTCCCAACAATTGGTCCTGCTGGCTGAGAACAATGGAAAAAAAACCACTGGAGGGCATTAGGTTAGGGAACACTAAAGGAGTTGTAACCAGAAATAACAGATTTACCAATCATTGCAAGAGTATGAAATATGTGAAGAACAAGTTTGTTCCCATCTATTGATAATTGTTTGGAAGCCTCAGTTGTTTGCCACGTTGAAGAGCTAGCAGCTATTTATATTATTTTGCTATGTACATTATATACAGATTTCCCTAGGATACTTAGAAAAGGAGAATGTTTCAAAGTTATAGTAGTAAGATCATTTTTGAGCTGAATGTGTAATAAAATATTGAGTAATGTTTGCATTTTTATAGGTCCTGTTCTTGGGTTGAAATATGAGAAAGCATGAATTCATACTTCAGGATGAAAAAAAAATTGGTGCAAGCATTGAAACTGTGGTAAATCAGATATAGCAAAGATCGGTTTTATGTACTGTACACATTGTTTTGGGTATAAAAAGTTCACTTAATGACATCAAGAAAGAACTTTGCTTGTAGAAAATAGCAGTGAACTTATTGTCACCCGGAGTAATTCTAGATGTGATGAAGAACTGTACCAGGATCAATATTCAAAGAGCATCCAATGAATGACACACTAAGTGGCATATAGAAGGACAATGAATTTAGGGCTGCCAGAAACATTATGTATGATTTAGGGGGATAATATTCCATGGTTATAAGGCTCTGGTGCATTGCACCTAAAAAGTGTGATGTTCTATTCTGGGCATTTCAACTTTTTAAAAAAACCACAATAATGACCAGTATGATGTATAAAGAGCAGTATAGTAGCAAAATATAAGGAACTGGGTGAGCTAGTGAAGGTTATTATGAAAGCAAGGGAAAACATACAGTCATGCGACAAAGAAAAGACACCCTCTTTGAATTTGATGCCTTTACATGTTATGACATAATAAAAATCATCTGGTCCTTAACAGGTCTGAACATTAGGTAGGATACAGCCTCAGATGAACAACAATACATAACATATCACACTGTGCTATGATTTATTTAACAACAATAAAGCCAAAATGGAGAAGCCTAGTATACCCTTACCACTTCTATAGGAATCAAGAGGCTAAGAAGTAGGCAGATGCTGCTAACCAAATGCCCTTGAGGAACTGATCGTCAGCAAGTGTGACCATTCTGTAAAAGCCAAAGTTTTAGCACTTTGCTGCTCTGAAGCATTCAGGTGTGTGTGAACACAATCCCAAGGAGGAAACACATCAGTAATGATCGTAGAAAAGTAATTGCTTCTGCTCATCCATTTGGGAAGACTGATAATGGCATTTCCAAATAATTTAAAGTCCATTATTCTACAGTCAGGAAGATTATTCACAAGTGGAAAACATTCAAGACAATTGCCAATCTTCCCAGGAGTGGATGTCCAAGCAAATTCACCTCAAGATCAGACCATGTAATGTTCAGAGAAATTGCAAGAAAAAAAGAAAAAGAAAAAAGAGAGTTACATCTCAGACTCTACAGTTAGCATATTAAATATTAATGTTCATGAAAGTACAATTAGAAAAAGATTGAACAAGTATGGTAGTTTGGAAGGATAGTAGGAGAAAGTCTCTACTCTCTAAAAAAACAAGGCAGCATGGCTTAGGTTTGCAAAACCACAGGGCATGTGGAACAATGTCCGTTGGACAGGTAAGACTCAAGTGGAAATGTCTGGACATAATGCACATCACAAGCTGAATATGAGCCAACAGTGTGATGTGGCTACAATAAATGCAAATGCTATTTTAGGCTGCATTACCAGAAGTAGAGTCTCCAAATTTATTTATTTATT